TTCCGTCTATACTTTTCTCTTTTCCATCTAGTGCATCATATTTTAGACAATCATATCGTATTCAAGATAAAAGGAAAGTATCAAAGCAATATGAGTAGGTGAATAAAGCAAGATGCCACTCAGGTGTTTATGAAGCCTTGACACATTGTTGAGATATAAAAATAGAATTTTAAACTGTACCCACTCCCCACTTGAGAGTACTAATTGTGTCAGTCAGTGACCGAAATCCACTTAGACACAGAATATATTATTAAATATTCGACAATCCCAATTTACAAAAGAATAGAACTTTATATGAACTGTTAAAGTAGAGTTACTTGGGAAGGGGTGTTTGGCCCAATATACGGTACTCCTTTTAGATAAAAGGAAGTGTGATACAATTCCATATTTCGAGTTTCCGTTACGAAGCAATGATTTAAACATATAACCACGTTACAACATTTAATCTATCAATCCTCGCTCCATATTATTATATTATTATAATATAGTCGTTATCGAGTTGTTTTGGTGGTAGAAAAAGGACCTTATATTTACTTATTTTCTATTATTTAAAATTAAATAATTGAAGCCTCTAAAGCATCGGTGTTAATACGGTTATATTCTTTATATGCAGATAAAGGATATGGCACTGAAGTTTTCAGGTGCTTACAAACAATGCAAACCCTGCACAGGGTCCAGTAGCTACAAGAAAGGACATAGACCATATCCAGACTTCGATACCATCTCAGAAGGGGTTCCATACCCTTACATTGGGGGTGCAAGCTCAAGTTCAACCCCCGCTTGGGACTTCACAACCTCTCACTACCCTGGTGGTAGATCAGACCCACGATTTGCTGGGGCATTTGGTGGTGACCGCACGCCTAGAGGACGAGACTCAGCATCAGTTTGTGATGTAGTCTTAGAGGACGAGGATGAGCCTAAGGAGTGGATGGCAGTGGTGGAACCAGGGGTTCACATTACCTTTGTGTCTCTTCCTAATGGGGGAAATGATCTTAAAAGAATTCGCTTCAGGTATGGTAACGACTACGCCAATAATTAATAATTGGCAAGTCATTTCAATTACAAGTTATTGCAGAAATGTTAATTTTCTAGTTAAAGATAATTGTGCTTGTCCCTAAAGTAATGATTAATGAACCAATTAAACACTAAATAAATTTGTCCCAAATTGCCCTCGCCTAACAATGGTCTATTACTTGGCACTGCACTTGTTGGATAAAAAAATCAGCTGAAATATGTAGTTTACATTCTGAAAAGAATACCTTAGGCCTTAATATTAATATTACAAAAAATGTATGGGAGTTTTTAGTTGTTGAGAACTTAAATTATCCTGTAGGAGCAAAGACTGACAATACTTAGCGTTTGAATTTGAAGCCGAGAGATGTTTAATAAATGGCAAGCGCAAAGATGGTGGGGTGAGAATTACGACAGAATCATGGAACTTTATAACGTGCAGAGATTTAATCGACAGGCGCTCAACACTCCTCCAAGGTCTGAGGACGAGGTAATAATCTACATTTCTTTCCATCAAGATTATGTTTTGCATTATCTTCATCATTCATTATATCTTATCATGTAGAGCACGATTTTGTAAGACTAATTTCGCCTATACAATTGTAATGATGGTCCAGCTTATATGTAAGTAAAAATGTTTTGATCAATTAGGTTGTACAGATAAGATTAACTCCTCTCGCACTCTCTAAACTTATCGGTTGATAATATGTTTCGTATGAATTAAGTAAGACAATTGTATTCAATTTTCAAAAACTATATTGGATTCGAGATTAATCTGTATAATTTGTTTGGACAGCCAAGAGATTCTACCTTCTCAAGATTGACATCTGCACAAGAAAGTCCCATGCCGTCAAACAAGGATTGGACCCCCAGGAGTCACTATAAACCTTCTGGGAGCAGAGGATATTACCCCTCTGAACCGTTGGATCATGGTGGAGGTGGTGGCCACTTGCATGCTGGGCCATCTATGGAACCAGCAAGGGATACTACTGCTTCTAGAGATGAGCCTTCTATCAGCAATGCCAGTGAAATGGAGGCAGAATGGGTAGAACAAGATGAGCCTGGGGTTTACATTACAATCCGGCAGTTAGCTGATGGGACCAGGGAGCTTCGACGTGTCAGATTCAGGTACTACATAGTATAATGTATCACTAAAAACATGTTCCTGTTCTTTTCCTTCACACGGAAATGATCCTAGAGCGTTGAAAAGAAGAACTAATCGTAGCTAAATGTCAAAATAGTGATGATCAAGATAAATTTAAGTAAAACAATCCTTATAATCTGTGCATCCTCATAGATCGAGATTTGTTCCTATTGTGCTGTCACAAGCGCAAATACAGACATATTTAGTTAATATTGTCAACTTTGAAGAGGGTACCGAAGATCCTTTAAAAGTTTTTATGCTTATTTGGTTTTGAATTTAACAGTTTTTGATCTCATCATGCTTGCAGCCGGGAAAGATTTGGTGAGGTGAATGCGAAAACATGGTGGGAAGAAAACAGAGAGAGAATACAAGCTCAATACCTTTGAAGTGTATTCCTAAGAAAAAGTGGAATCCGAAATTTTGTCTCCAAGAGAATGTAAGGGTATGACTCCAGATTAAGGAGTGGAGTCAGTCCTATACAGAAAACTGGACTTCCCACCATCTGTTATGGTCTCTGACGGGATAGTGCAAATCAGGGATTTAGTTTTGTGGTGACTCCATTTTTGCCAAGTATCAGTCGCCATTGGATTGGGAGGTCTAATCTTTATTACAAATCACATATATATTTTTTATCCTCCTAATTTTCCTGCCTTGCTTTCTTTCTTTTCATTTTAAGGGATACCTTTTTTCTCATCACGATTGCTGTTCTATTAATTTATCACCATTTGTTTATTTTTTATCTCCCAAGTGGAACTGTGTTGTAGCTGCTTACCAAATGATTGCCTCTTATAACGTGAGATCAAAGAAATTAAGAAAAACAGTGGTATTTATTAATGCATGATTTAAGATATTCTAGTATGTGCCCTTTGACTAAATTAGATATTCTAGTATGTGGTTTTGTTTAAATAAATTTCTCTATAAATATTTATAGAGAAATGAAACTGAGCTTTCAATTAAATATAGTAGAAGACGTTTAAGTTGCGTTCTTGTATAAAAGTCCGTCTTGTCCAAATTCAAGACACGTGTCTCAGTAAGCTGATCTACAAAAATAATAATAATTCACATTTTATTTTATTTTAATGTAACTAACATTAATTATATTTTATCAATTAAAACATTTTTTTAATCTATCAAATTTAACTCATCGCTTATTAATTTTCACAAACTTCCATCTTAAATATTTTCATTTTTCATTATCTTTTATTTAATCCAAACAACTCAATCTTCATATTTTTCTTCCCTCAAATTCACTCTCCAAAATTCATCTTCAAATCCAAACACAAAACACAGAAGGTCAAATAAAAAAAAACAAGTTAAATATTCCTATTTTTAAAAATTAGTTTTGAAACTCAAATTACAATAAAATACATTGTCCCCTTTTTAAGACCACATCTAATATGATATAAGTCTAGCATAACTTGTAATAATCGAACTATAAAATAAGAATAAATGCTGAATTTGGTCCTGAAAGATTGAGCCAATGGTTGGTAGGTCTCTTAATAAAATGTTACGAAAATTAGTCCTTCAATAATGTATCTTCTTGCATGTAAGTTCTTATTTCTTCTGAATTTTTGTCAAAACCACTCCTATAAATGTTAAGCCGTCATTACATTAGACAATCTCTTTTCCTATTCTCAACAATAACACTTACACCATCATTCCTCCAATCAACGTAGAGAATGGGAGGTGAAGAAAATAATCGTTACAAACCTTCCTTGTTGAAGAGTAGTATCCAAAATAATCTTGAAGGAGCAAACCTTAGAAGGATGATGATGTATTTCTAAGTGCAATCAAGAGTCATAACAATTCACAAAAACACGAAAGTACAAATGTTATATCCAAGTTTAACAAATCATTTTTTGATTTTGATTATAAGCTTAAAAAACAAGTATAAAATATAATTTTAATATATCATGTCAAATGAAAAGTGCCTAGTGTAACCCAACAAACACAAGTTGAGTGGCTAAATGGATGCATGTGTTGTTTGTCGTGTATTTAGTTTGATAGGCACAAACGTTGTATATGTTTTTCATCTGATAAGTTTTTTTCTTGAACAAACACTAATCAGTATAAATAATCTAATGATCTTTTATCTGAGGAGACAATAAGTATATTTTGTTAGACAAACATAATCCTTAAACATTTCATAATATATATCAAACTAATAAATGTTTATTTTATATTTGTAGAGAATATGCACTTCTTCGTTTTTTCAAGAGAATCTCAAGTTTTTTGTCAACATCAAGATTTTCCTAAGAACAAAAGCTTCATACAAACAATTTTTCTAAAAAAAAGTGGGATATCAATATTGTAAAGTCAACCAACTATATCAAGTCCAACACTTTGCAACTACCTAATGTGTTTCAAAGTTTTAAATCATGCTCTAACTAAAGAAGAGTCTCGATGGTTACAAATTTGCAAGGACTCTTCTTCTCAACTCTACATAAAGAAAATCCATATGAAGAAAAAAAGCTTTGGTTTTCTTAAGCGTCCTTAGGCTTTGCATTTAAGAGTTTGTTTGTCGTTAAACATTTTCTGATTAGCAACTCTATGATCTATTAAATCACTTTCTTTATAAAGGTTTAACCAACAATGGTTGGGTCTAAAGAATATTAAATCATGGGATTGCCCCTTACACCAAACACTGATGGCCCTTAATTACTGTGTCTGCCAGCCAGCATATGCATGTTCCTTAAAGAACTAAAATTAATAAATAATTAAATAAGTTATTAAGTTGTTTAATCTTAATAGACGTTGAACAACAATTTTATCCGCTAAAACATACTGACTCTTCAGAAAAGAAAAGTGCTATTCTCAATAGATGTACACGCATAGATGAAGATGAGGAACTGCATAATGGAAAACACGGTTTAAAGATTTAGTGGTTAAATAAAATACATTTATGGAGAAAACAATAAAGAATATTGAGGTTTATAATTTTGGAAAACCTGATTCTTAAAATAAAATAAAAAAATGATGTCGGGATATTCAGTGAACACACATCAAACAGAGTGAGGGTGACACTGGAACTTGTTGAGCACCATTAATGAAGAAGCTTTTATATAAACACTTTGGCACGACTGATGGTGTGTCAATGAAATCTATATGAAAAAACCAGTAATAGTAACGAAAACCATCACCAACTCAGCAGGGCAGGTGCAAACCCATAATATATGGATCTATCGATGTGTATTGGCACAATTTAAAATATGGATCTATCGAAGATTCTCCAAAGTCATCTCAGCCAGCAACTTTTCTAGTCAAACTTCTCTCAGTTGTTGGATTTTGTTGTCCGGATCTGAGTATGAAGTTTCCAGATTCAGATATACAATTGACTCCCGCCTTCATTGCAGGCGATGGACGGCTTTGTCCCATCGACTGTCTTCGCGAACCGATGGACATATTGGCCAACTTTTCGGCGCTTTCTGAAACCCCGCGTGCAGTCCTTCCCTTGTTCATAGAAGCTGCCAAACACATTATTACGAATCAAAATCAGCTTTAACTCGTGCTTAAATGAAAGTGATTATTAGAGTATTAAAAGGCTTACTCGGGCTGTCTTTTCCTGGAAATCGATATTTTGATTGTTGAGTAGTCTTCAATGACTTCTTGCTCTTAATTCCATCCTTTAGAAGAAACAAAAGAATTTTAGCTGAACAAAATTTAACGAGAAACAAGTCCAATATAGTAACACCACCAAAAAAGAGCAAAGGCCAAAGAGGAGTCAGTCAGATTTGTGAGATCTTGAACTGTCTTAATGCATAGCCCCACATATTCAAAGAGTGAAAAGGTATGGGTGGGAACCAGAGATTCAATGAGTAAAAAGACGGCGTGGGTAGGAAGGGCATGAGTTAGTAAGCACAATGGGAAAGGACAAAAGTAGAAAGAGTGAACAACTCACCTCGGTTGCCAAATCCAACTTCCGTTGCACACCTGTAATGTTCAGAAATAAATGAGTTCCATGCTCTTTGCACATGTGAAACACAGCATGCCACTAAAAAGAGGGCCTATTTTCTCCACTTTCCAAGAACATAAAAAATCCCAGCTGCAACTAGAATTTCATTGCTTTGAGACTGGAAAGGAATAAATAGAAACTATATATTCAAAAGAGCAGGGCTTTTGTTTGATAGAAGATCAAATACGTGGAATGTAATTTTAGTTGGTGGTACATTTGATTTGAACTTATGAGAGAACTGGAGATCATACCATACCAAATATAGGAGGCATTAGAATTTAAAGAAAATGGAAAAAAATGGAGTAATGCCTCACGGTGTCGTGTAATAGAAAAGTACCACCCAAGTTTAAGAAAAATAATTAGCACAGTACGACTTTAAATGTTTGTACAGGACAGAATGCTAAACAGAAAACCCACCAATATAAAAAAGGTCAACATAAAAAAATTACGATAGATGAGTGGACACAACACAGGACTGGATTAGGAATAACATCGGAAAGCAAGTACATAATCTCCACCAAGAGGTATGATAAAACATAGAATAGTCTAACAATTAGTGGAGGGAGAACCAAAAAGTCAATAGGCCAGACCGTGGAAGTTTTAGATTTTCATCTATAAAAGTAATTTACAATAGGACTAAAAGTTTTATCCATTCAAGAAAAAGGCTATTGATGGTTATTACTTTGTTTCCATTATTGAGATATAAAGTAGCAATTTAAACAATGTAGTAATATATCTTATAGAGATTTCGCACAGCTTAAACACCAACAGATATTTCTAAACCATAATGAATAATAATGATTCAGATCTACAGATAGTTGGGATAAGCAAGCACATAATCTACAACAAGGAGTATGATGGAACGTAGAATAGTCTAATAATCAGAGATGGAAGGAGGCACCCAAAAGTGCCAATAGGCCAGAGCATTGAAGGTTAGATTAATAAAAGTAATTTACAATAAAACTATGTTTTATCCATTCTAGTAAAAGGATATTGATGGTTATTACTTTGTTTCCTTTATTGAGATATAAAGAAGTAGCAATTTAAACAATGTAGTCATGTCTGATGGAGATTTCCCAGCTTAAGCACCAACTGATATTTAACTAACAAAGAATTATACGACTCAGATCTACGAAAGCTGGAATAAAAACATGCAGCATGTATTGAACCTGAATATGTCTGAAACCAATTATATCACCTGAAGCTATAGAAGCATGTAATTTAGGGGAAGAAAAATTGTTTGTGAATTTTGTATTAGGCAAAGCACTAGAGTATCTCTTGAGTCCCTGACGGTCCAGTGAACCCCTGGTCCCAGCTGCAACAAAATAAACAAGGAGTTTGGTATCCCTTCCAATTGAAGCATAAGCCATTCCTTAGAAAATAATATAAATTTAACTACAAACCAGATGGAGGAGTTCTGGCCACAGCTCTTGTGCGAAGGGATGGAGGGATGTAAAAGCAACTCTAAACAAATCAAAAAGCAAAAAATATTTAAAGCCCAATTACAGAAGTTAACATATAGTCGTGTGATTAAAGATATAAAATTTTTACTACAAAACTTATCGAAAGTAAGGATTTGTTAAAGATAACCTGAAAGAAAGGATGTTGAAGGGCCTCTGATGCTGTTGGTCTCTTGCAGGGATCCCATGAACAAAGTGACTACAAAAATGTAATGCAAACAGAAAAATGAGTACATAGCACTCCGTTAGCTAAAAAAGGGGGGGCAAGACTAAACTACAGTGTAATAAAAGCAAAACTACTCACGCTAACAAGGTTAATTGCACTATCACTTCTGGATGGGATCAGAGCAGAGAGATGTACACTAGCAAGCTGCAGAATTTAAACATAAGAAACTATTTAAGGAAGAAAATATTGATCTTAATATACATAATATCAAAAGACAACAGTTTAAGGGGATAAAAAGACTAAACAAAAGACTTTGAAATTATCCAGCACACTGAAAACAGATAAAATAGCACATCTCACAACTTGCATAATAATTAGTATCTAGCACTCTCAAAGCAAAACATAAAAACAGAAACAACAAAAGTAGGAAAAGAACCTGTGGAAACTGATAGTTGATATCCCTGGCAAGCTTGAGTCCATCTGCCCAAGATTCAGTTGTGGGACTACCTATTACACTGCATATTTTGTAGATTTCATCCGCTTCACTGCGTGTACAGAAATAATGAAACATGTTAATTTAAAAGTCCAATCAGTAAATTTGATACTGTAGAGAAGTATGTCACTAATATGAAATTATGTATGTTATGCCATAAACTAATGACAATTTGAAACCAAATAATTTGCAAAGAAGTGTTCAGTCATGCACTTGGAACCAAGTATTAGCGAATTCCCTAATAAAGATCAATTAGCTATATCTAACTAAAAATATCATCATATGGGAAGTTTCACGAATGGAGAGAGGTTAATACCTAGTACCGGGGAATAGAGGACGTAGAGTGAACAACTCAGCCATAATAGCACCCATTGCCCACATATCTACAAGATGAAAGAAAATCCATAAATGTATGGTACTTGACACTTAAGTAATGTATTGTCTAGACTTTAGACCATAATATTTTGGTAAAACATAAGTTACCATAAATAACAATTACTCAAATCAGAAACTTACCGACTTTAGATCCATATAAATGGGACTGAAGTAGGACTTCAGGAGCACGATACCTAATCAGATGTCATAATAACTATGAAATTAAATGCATATGAAATAGTGCATTATACATTTACAATAATAATAAAGTATTGAGTTGAAAAAACATACCACCGTGTGGAGACATACTCAGTATAGGGTGGCTGTGAACTGATCTCTCGGGCTAGGCCAAAATCAGCAATCTTAATGACATCCTTGGTGACCAGCAAGTTTTCTGCAACAAGAAGTATACCTCAAGTCAAGACAGCAGAATTTTGCAGAGTAATAGATATATGTAAATCTTAATTTGTCATGATTTTCAATTCAATTAACCAGCAAGCTGCATTTAAAAATTATTATTAAAATAGATAACAAAAAGGAAAAAAATTAGCAACAAGAGAATAAAATTCTAACGTTACATCCATTCCAAACTGTATAATATAAACGGAACCCTATTATTCCATCATGCTACATACTAACACACTGGTATCATATGATAATTACGTACCTGGCTTCAGATCACGGTGAAAGTATCCACGCTGGTGCATGTAAGCTAAACCTTGGAAAACTTGAAAACACCAATTTCTAACTTCACCTTCAGAAAACAGTTTTTCCCTGTTTTTCATTTGTTGGTACAGGTTGTATTCCTAGATTACCCAATATGAATTTAAAAAATTAGTACTAGGCTTTACATGAGCCATCAAATATGCCACAAAATCCAGCCACTCACCATATACTCAAAAACAAGGCACAGAGTGTCACATTCTCGAATAACTTCCTTCAGCTTGACAATATTTGGGTGGTTCATTTTTCGCAGCGACTGCCATAGGGGAAATTAGAGAGTAATTATAAATTTTCAACTAATCATTACAAAAAAAGGCTTTAAGAAAGATAAGCAAGATGTAAAACCTTGACTTCTCTTAGGTTTACACACTCCTCCCAAGAGTAATATTTCTTCTTCATTTTCTTTATTGCAACCTGGAATTTTATGACAAATTAGATAAAACAAACAATGGAACTTCATATACCATTCAACTCAAAACATACTTACAACTTCACCACTTTGCTTATTAATGGCTCTCCAAACACTCCCAAACGTTCCATCACCAACTTCTTTAATTAACTTGTACCTGTGTTCAAGGAAAGGAGAAAAACATTGAAGATATTAAACAGTTAAAAAGAGGGAATAACAACTTCTGGCTTGAGAAACAAATACTCACCTCTCCATTTTCCCAAAGAACCCAAAGCAGCTCTTATTCAAAAAGAAATGGCAAACAAGATAAAGATAGATGGCATTTATCCCTAGCAAACAATGCCAATAAAAATGTACAAAATGTTGACAGATATGAGATGGTCCGGCAAAGTTCACTGTCAATTCACTGTCATGGCAATGATATAAAAAACATAAATTGTTTATGCAAGGACAGCATAGCCTTATTGATTAATAGTCCCACAGCTTTGTAGTGGTAGCAAGATGCATGTGGTAGAATCAAACAAGTCCTGGAGAACTTATTTACATAGTTTCAGAATGATTGATCAAAGCAACATTCATCTTCTGCTAAACTCATCACGACCCAAGACTTGAGGAGTTCAATAATAGCCACTTCATCTAATCTACATAGTTTCAGAATTGTCAGGTAAAAAATATTTTGTTGCCACCAATATCCATTAGAAACAACAACACATCAATTGTAACTAAGTGTTGTCTACAGTTCTTCAAGGCAGTTGCTTATCTAATACTTGAGAAGCAGGCATCCAAAATTCACACATTAATCCATATACTTCAGCCCTGTAAAACAAAGATAAGTTAAGTTAAACATCAGTAGGTTAAAACAGGTGAAGGTGTGATAAACAACTGTTCCCTGATGAATCTCTTATCCCAGAAGTAGATTTTACAGATGTTTCAACAGGATATTGGGTTAGGAGTGCACTGTGAAAGGAACACCTATTAAGAAACAACATTTTTTGAAGGTTGCAGCCAAAGACAAATAAGTTCTTACTCATACGTGTTCCCCAAAGATGCTGCACTGGTCTCAGAAGAAACAAGCATTGAGTACACTGTGCCGATCATTAACGTAGAACAAAAGACTAGGTGCAATTGACAAAAGAAACAAGAATAAAATCTCTATGGATGAAGAATTGGCGGTCAAGCACTTGTTGGGATAAAAGCAACCAATAGTGGAAGCAACTTGGCAAGATACAAATCCTTTCCATGTCTCAAAAAATGTACCAGGAACCTCAAGATTCAAATCAAGATCACCCTGCAATTATAGAACATGAGAAAACATCTGATTAGATTAATACTCTACATTGTACAATGCAAATGGCCGACAAAGATAGAAATCTCAACAAAAACAGAAATGGCAATTCTATATGAAAATCAAAATCAAAGAGTGTGCATCATCAACGACAAATTAAACATTTTTCCTTTCTAATTCTAATTTTTTGCTAAAGGTTAAAATTTGAAATCCAATAGAAATTTCAATTTTTCCTGTGGTAGAAAAGTTACCAGACAAATAAGCCAGTATATCAACTAAATACTAAAACTATGTATAAAAATACAATCAAACAAGTTATAATGGAGAGTACAAACATTACTAATTTGCATGTACCAAATTCAATTATGATTACGGGCAGAACGCAAAATCCATAATTACTTCAAAAACCATTTCCAAACATCCGTACTAGCCAAATAGTTACCTCCAGGCATCATCATATGTCAATTTACCTACAAAACAAACATATAATCCAGGAATTCAAGAGAGCATCAAAATTGAAAATTTTTCACCTAAGACAGAACTGAGTTCTCAGTTGCGCTTCAAAGACAAACCCACTCCAATATTTAAACCCAGAAAAAAATAATAAAAAAAAAAGCATCACAAGGATGAGGGATCCAATCATAAGAGCCTAAACATATGATAAAAATCAATCACATTCTTGGCCAAATCCTACCAACGCACGCAGAACGCAAAGCAAAAGAACAATCAGTACCATTCGAATCAAGCCCAACGAAAAAATCCAGAGAATTCAAGACGCGCCAATTCATCTAGAAAACAATGCGCCCATTAAATTCCCTAAAGAGCATCGAAGTTGAAAACCATTAAAACCGACATGAATGAACTTTCACAAGAGAATCCAATCTCTAATCGAAACCCTAGTTAATCTATAAAATGCATCAAGAAACCCACACTCAGCCTCCTCTGCAATATCCCACAAGAATGTTCAATCAATCCCACACCATGAAACGAAAACCATTCTGAATGAATAGAGGGGGCATGAATGCAATTAAATTCGAATCGGATCTGCAAAGAATGAAGACAAGAAGAAGAGAAAAGGAAGAACCTGAAGAGGTCGAAGGAAGAGGACCGTCACGAAGGACGGTAGGAGGTGAAATCCAGAGTTTCCCTCTCTCTCTTCTCTCTGTCACCAAACCCAACGCAAGCCAATAAAGTCAAACTTTCCGATAATTCCTACCCTCTCTTGTTTTTTTTTCTCCTCTTCTCCCACCAAACTCTCAATATTTCTCTACAGTAAAGTACACTCCAATTTTATAAATTTTAAATTAAGCAATCTTATCAGATTATGAGAATTTATTATTCAAAATATTTGTGTCCATATATCATAAGAAATTGGTAGCTAATTTGTGATTATAAAAATTTAGTGCCCGAAGTTTTCAGTCTCAAATGGCGTACATTTAATTAAATATACATTTTCTGTAAAAAAAAATTTATTTATTTACAACATTTTTATTTTTTTCAAAAAATAAAATATAATTACAATATGTGAGCTTTATGATTATTTAAACATTATCTCTATAAATTTTCATTTAATTCTAGTTAATTATAGGTTTAATACATGGTCCATACTTTTAGGGGTTTAGGTCAAAGTAAGCTTACATTTTAAAAAAATTCAGCAAGACTCCATATTTCGTTAAGAAATGTTCAATCCGGTCATTTACGCTCACACCGTTAAAGACATAACGGTGCAAATGTCACGTCATCATCACCATCTCCAAACATTCCCTAACTTCTCTCCAAGAAACCTTAGTCACCACACCATCCAGCGTCATCACCGTCATCCTCGCCGGCAGCCGTCCTCTCCAACACATCACACACCACCACCAAAGTTATGCGACGAGAACGCGAGAAACCCTAGGTCTCCATGGTTTGCTTGCAGGTCTGATTGTGGTTGCGGGTGGAGGCAAGCAGCGGCGCGATTAGTGATGAAGAAGAGTGACGATTCGCAATCTGCAGCAGTTGGCGATTTGGTTGGTGGTTAGTGGTGGACGATTCTGTGGTGGAGATTGGACGATAGTGTTGTTGGTGCGACGACGATTTGGCTGGTGCGAGGGTGAAAATGGTGAAGATTGGTGGTCGCAACATAGCAAGGGATCGCGTTGGGTGGTGGCGCGAGAACGAAGGTGAGATGCGAAGGTGATGGAGGTGCAACAGAAGGGAGAAGACGTTTTGGTGGTGGCGCATGATGTGTTGAAGATGACGGCTGCCGACGAGGATGGCAGTGACGGGGCTGGATGGTGCGGCGGCTAGGGTTTCTTGGAGAGAAATTAGGGTTTGTCTGGAGATTATGATGATGACGTGGCAGGGACTTTTTTTTTAAATTAAAAAATCATTTAAGTCCACCTATTAACGTGTGTCACGTGCTTTTATGAGATGTCACGGTGACATTTGCACCATTATGTTTTTAACGACATGAGCGGAAAGGACCAGATTGAACATTTTTTAACAATGGGGTCTTACTAAACTTTTTTAAAAGATAAGATTACTTTAAACAAAACCCCTAAAATTAGGGACCAAATGATGTATTAAATTGAATTGATTTTTATATTTGGCTAAAATTATTTTTTGAACTTCTCTTCATTTGAAAAAATTCAATAATAAAGTGAAAAAAGAAGCATTAAATGGATACTTTTATATTTTTTCTACAATTGTTTCATTGCGTACTCTTTATTTTCTTCTATAAAACACAATAACATCTTAAATGTCATAAAATAATAATTGTGATAAGTGTTTATTTTGTTAATAATTCAAATGTAGTTTAGTACTTCTCTAGTTATTATTTTGTTATATAAATAAGATTTTTCTCTTTGTTATTTAAGAATTTAACAAAAACATTTGGATATAAACATGTGTGAAAAATTAATGTATTTTTAAGAATTGCATAACAGGTCATGCCGGTCTGCAAGCCTGTAATCAAAATCATAGAATGGGTTGAACTTTTGAACTTGTTGGCTTGCATTAGCCCGATCTGCATAATCTGTAGTCCGTGCAGGTTGTGACGGGATGAGACGAGCTAGCTCCTTTTCTAAATTAATGAAATCCAATCCCAACTGTCGCAACCGGAATCGCGACGGGACGACGATCCAAATAAGAAACGGGGTTTTGAAAAGAGATTTGGAGTCGCCACCATAGTTTATTATGGAAAACTATGGAAAAACCTCAAAACGATAAAGCACGGTCCACGAAAACCAGATTATGGGTTCGGGAGTCGGTTACGTGTAGGGAAGGTATTAGCACCCTACAACGCCTGCCCTAAGGCAGTACCTTTAACTAAATACGCGAATTTGATGTGGGTTTCAAAATGTTTAACTATCCCTAAAATAAAAATAAAAATAAACAAAATATATTTTTTAGTTTTTTGGGTCCGACAAGGATTGACCTTGCTCCTACGTATTCTCATTCAAAATGAGAAATCAGGGTTACGTAGTTCTAGCTGAAA